AAATACTCATATTGTTCGCTTTCCGCGCGCCCTGCACATACACATACCAAGTGATACTTCTCCTCTGCCACTCCCACATCTTCATCGACATCAACCACCAACTTAATCGGTTCCCTCTCGATACGTTCTTATTAATTACACTCATTCCATCAACAACAAAAAAATCAGCCATTTTGTTACATTCATTTTTTGCCCTTCGCCCTTCTTTTTTTTTCGGACGAACGAAAGCCTGCGCACGTTGATAAGATTAAATCGCCCATAAAGAATTATTACCCGTAACTCTCATACGTGCCCTGCGCCCCGTTGTGAAACGAACACAAAAGTATAAAGGAAAACAAAAATTATACACATTCATACCTCTATAATAATCACAATTTCCAAAACACATCAAAATCCCTTTATACTTATATAAATCAAATGTTATTTCATTCAATCCTAATTAATATAAAAAAAATCATAAATAATTATCATTTATTTAAAGAAATGTTTAACCTTTAAGATAATTTGTCCTATGAATTTATTATTTTGTAAATTGAAATTTTCAATGAGTAAAATACAACAATCTAGAGAAAATGATCATTAATAGTGTAAACTATAAAGGATTATAATAAGAGTATAGTAGATCTAATTTCAGTAATTTAAGATTATTGCGGATGTTTGCGAGGAAAGTACGTTTATATTTTAATATGGTAAAGTAGCGTTTCTTGTTTATATATGTATATATGAATGTAATAAATAACCTAGGATTAATTAAAACCTGTTCCGACGGAGGTGTTTGCCTTTTTCGGAGCAACCGTGTCAACAATTGCGAAATGGGAAAACATTATTTTCACTCTGGCCGCGCGTCGGGCTTACGCAATCCACTTCGCATTAACGATTTTTCGTTCCGTCCCGTGTGCCAGCCCTCATCCACCCCCCAGAAGCCTAACACCACCCCTCCAGCCCGCGAGAAAAAAAAAACATACATATATATATATTAAGGGAGGCGGATATAAAAATAAATGGGCGCAGACCGAAAAATAAAAACAAAACAGCAAAATGTACAAAAAAAAAAAATATATGTATATATAACGAGAGAAGAGCGCACATAAAAATGCCTACAAATTTATGAAGTGCACACGGTGTGCGTGCGTGCGTTTGTGTGTATGTGTGTATATATTGTGTAATAGATGCGCACGTTTGTAAAACATTCGCAAATATAAATTATGATTTGCACGGTGCAAATGTGGACGGCGGATGGGGTTGTTTTTCGTTTTGTGTCTTTTCGGTTTGTTTCCCGTTGTTGCCGTTACCGTTACACCGAATCCATGTAAACATATTTATGCGAGGCGGCTGTGATTTAGGTGGCGCGGATCCGCCGCGGCGTCCGAAACGCCCGTTTAGATTCCGCGATTAATCACGCCCACGCATCCCTAATCATCATTGATTATTACCCTTCCGGGCCACCAATTAAATCACCGAATTCGTTGTAATGCATACCTTCATACATATATAGATTTCTATATATATATATATACATACACATAAACACATACAGATATATAAATATATATGTTGCTAATAAATCCGAATGTGCGTTGTATGTAACCTATTAATTTTCAGCATGGAAACGATTACCAATTATCATTTACACTTGAAATGCACGCCGCGGAACCCGCAAATCCATTGTTTCGACGCGGAATCAAGCGACTTCAATCAAAATCACGGCCCATATTCCATTACACCCACCAGCTTCCATTATTAATAATCCCTTTTTCATTGTCCGTTAATAATTTTAATTGATCGTCGTTTCATCGCAACAGTTTACTCTCCCCACACACAGCTATGTTTTCGTATTTCTGCTTTACAATAGCTTTGTTATCAAAATTCAACTTTACATTCATTCAAATTCTCAATCCCCATTTCTATACAAATCACAATTCACGTCAAATTATTCTCAAGTTGTTGTTTCTGTCAATATATTTTTACTTAAACTTATTCTATTTAGAATTGATCGTTTGATATTTCTTGAGCTAACTATACTATTATTGCTAAAGCATTCAATTGACAAATAGGATAAGTTCAATAACACTTTGCATGAGATTTTCTGTAGTCGAAAGCTATTTGCCAGATGTTTACTCTCCGGACAAGAAGAAATGGTGGAAGGGACAAAACGATGGGATAAGGAAAGAGCGTTTTAGGTATGTCGATAACAATAATCCTCGGCGTATATACGATCCGACTAATTCCAATCGTTAAATTGAATTTAGCCTAGGGGTGGTATGCTTCTGAAGCGAAGGCGCGATGCTTCTCCCCCTAATTAACTGTACCATTCGCTCGGAATTACCCTTTCCTACGTGATTTAGCGTTTTAAAGTTATTGCCGTTTTTAGACACCCCCCGCGACAACCTGCCCCACCCGAATTAATTGCAAATTGTTTAGCAATTTTCTTGTCTCTGCGAAATTACTTTGAATCACAGGTCACAGCCGCCTCCGTTACCGTCGACGTGGCCATCCAGACCGGATGTGCCGTCATTTCAATAAACGAGGACAGACGGCTCGCGTCTAATAAATTACAATCAAACAATAAAATGAATTGATCAATCCTCTCTCTTTCTCTCTCTCTATCTCTCAATTCGCATCCATCCGAATGTCCGTAGGCGAGTGTGAGCACAATTAGATGATGTTACATAACGCGGTCGGGGATGGGGGTTTGATGATGGTGTCTAGACGCGGCTCGCGATGTTCAAACACTGATTTTGCTTTTTCCCTCTTGCTCTTCTCAGTAAATATCCAAAGAATTTTTTTAAAACCCGCAGTCTTGTTCTTTCTTACAAGAGATGCGTTTTTTGTTGTTTTATTTTTGCGGAGCCGCCGCCCTTCGCATCCGGTCTCGAAAAACTTTTCGCAACCCTCTAATCAAAGACTTTTCGAAACAATGCCTCCGTCTCTTAATTGCGAATATTTTATTTACTTTCCATACGCTATTCAATCAAGCGCAAATCGGAAACGCAAGACAAAAGATATAAAAGAGAAGCAGCAGACGAAGAACTCTTTGATCCGATGAAAGATACTCTCTTCATATCTGCTCGAATTATTGAAATTAATAATGATCTAAGAAGAAATAAGTTTTATGCATCATATTTTTAATTGATAATTTGCAATATTTGTAGGAAATATGTAATGCTTGCTTGAATTGTGGATCACAATGGAGTATATGATCGAATTGAAAGTTAGGAAGACAATAGTGGCTTAGCTTAACCCAAATAGTCGTCCAGCAAGAGATGAGATGAATAGGTCTGCATCGCTTAAACGTAATAACATAATGCAGTATGCAGCAAGCAGTTTCTCTATTTATAAATAGAATAATCATAATAGAGAGCGGCCTAAGAACGGGCCATAATGGAGTCCGCAGCTTATAACACAATCTCATTAAGAATCATTAACCATGCGCTCTAGAAAGGCCTCGAAAAGTAATACATTATATCCTTGTATTTTCATTAAAGGAAAGTCTGATACTTTGTCCGTACGCTCGGTAAAATAGCATGCATTAATGCATTAATAGCTATAATATACAGCGGTGCAGATGAAGGCGAAGATCAAAAGTCTGCTGGTATTACTGAGAATTATTATTATTATATATATTTTTTTTTTAGAGGAATGATCACAAAACGGATGATGTATTGCTTTGTGGAAAAGTATAGAAAGTGGTCGGAAGAAAATCACTTCTTTTATTGAGGAGAGAAAGATCCTCTCGTTCGGTTTTCTCCTTTCATATATACTTTTTTCTTTTCTTCATCCGCTTCTTGAGGGAAACGTTTAAGGGGAGCGCAGTAAAATACAATTGAAGATTGCGAAAAGCGGCGAACGATGGAATGCTATTTTGGAGTTGTATAAACGAATGGGAGCATAAAAATTGAATAAGATATTTATTCCTATGAGCGGTACGGAGGAGATCAACATCAAACATACATATTTACGAGGTAAAGACCGTCTTTAAATATACATATTCCAGTTATACGGATAATAAGAGCTTGATTTCGAGAAGTCTGATTAGAGGTTGCATCAAGAGGAGCAACAGGGAAAAAAAAACGTCGCCATCGGGCTATGTGTTCTCTATTTCCGATTGCATCGATTTCATTAGCGATATATAGGAAAGAGAGAAACCTCCCCCCAATAGTAAACAATCCCCCCATTTTAATTATCCGCATCTCCACTAATCGCTTCGAGTCGTTGCGAGAGTGGAGCCCCGCGGGACAATCCTGTCGACACTATTTCATTTATATATTGGCAACATTCCGAATCTTCATGGATACACCCTTCTCAAAGTGCACCGATATAAATGAAACTGCGAAATAGGAACGTGAGGTGTTAGACTGTACCTGAGTTTACTTTGTTCACGAGGCTGAGCTAATAAAACGTAGGTTTATGTGTTCGAGTATAGATTTTTCTAGTGGCGGCAAATAAATAATGCCATTTCTGGATTCCCAGCAATTGGATGTCGCCGTCGCTGTGTGTATTTACATTTCTGTGGGGGCAGGCTTCATAAAAGAGGAGCGACCTCCTCGTAAAGTATAGCGACTCTGTTGCAGATTTTAATAACTCCTCCATTGCAATATCAAAAGACACACAGACAGGTGGCACAAAGTATATTTATTGTTTATAATAAGAGATAGGTTATTTGAAGGTAATTGACGGGATTTGTATAGACATTAGAATTGTTTTAGTGAACAGAAACTGGTAAGTTAATCCGGCTGTCATAGCTAACTGATTGATGGGGACGGGATGCGGCGGAGGCAGCAGCCAACACCCGTTCGCAACATACTTTCATAAACAGCCCCGAACTAGATCAATTTGTCATGACTGCGGAGCAATTTCCAAAAGTATTGGTGAACTGGAACGAAGTTGGGGAGTGGATGGTTAGAGGGTGTAGGATGAAGAGGAATAGGAGTAGGGGGTAGGAAACGGTTAGACGGCAGCATCACGGGAGGGTCGTTAAGGGAATACAAAGTGCAACTAACCTTCTTGAGATGTCCCGTGGCGGTGCCCAAGAAGACGACTGTAAAGTCGCCCGTGGAGGTCGCAGCGACAGCCGTCAGTCTCGTGTTGAACAACAGCACGGGTTTCGCATAGACGGGTTGCTCTCCTCCCAAAGGCGTGTTCACATCCAACCCGCAGAAATCCTCTCCGATGGATTGCAGTTTCTGAAAACAAACACAGAGAACGTCAGTTCAGGAACAAATGCCCTAGTGGATACACGACATATGAACATCTGACACTTGGCCCAAGCGAGACAAAAAAAAAACCAAGAGTGGAAGGACAAAAAATAAATAGGCTTTTTTTTTTGTCTTCTTCTTCCCTGTTCAAGTTTCAGGAAGGGCTGCTACTTGTTTAAAGATTCACCCGCACTTAAATAATATTGGCTTCCACCTTCAGCCGACACCTTCCTGGAAAATTAAGGCCCGACCTCACGTGCATTCCCTATGCATGAACGCATTGCATTATTCATCCACGTCTTTCCTCTTCCTCCACCCCGCCTCATCCTGCACCAGTCGACGCCGGTTCCACCTAATTATCATAACCAACATCTCATCGGAACGTCAAATCCCACATCAAAAACGCAAACACGGCGGAAGCCATCTTCGATCCACCTCTATTTACTTTTACAATACGTCGCCGCGAATTCGACTTTGCCAGCAAAACGGGCATTAATTAAGTAATTAGTTGTGCAACTCGGCGCCACGCGATTCTTCCAACTGCTTCACTACTAGTTTAATTATCAAAACTTTCAGGTACAAAAGCTACATCTACAAACACATGACGAAAACTAATATTATTCCTACGGAATCACAGTTTCTTAAACTCACTTAGATAATTGCAAAGATGTCTGTTGCGACAACCTTGCGTTTACTACAAAACACATTTCAGATTGCAACTAACTTATTCCAATTTAATAAAGGCAACTGCACCTTCCAACTAAACCACTCACAGGTAAATACTATTAAAAGTTATATTAAAAGCCTTTCAATCGTTATTATTTGTTTACTAAAAGCTTTTAATCATATTTCAAATACCAAATTACTTTAGAAACTCTCCCGCAATCAATTAATTGATTTTTTTTTATAAATAAAATTGCGAAATAAATTATATTATACAATATAAAATATATGAAGTTGAGGAAAGGAAGTAAAATATAATTGTAAATAATTTGTTAACTTTTTAAAATTGAGTATTAAATGAACGGATCTACTGTCCTAGTTCATTTTTTGAAGTGGGTGGGTTTCGCAGGAACAAGTCAAGTTTATACCGGTCGGTTGTAAAATATCAAGAATGCGTGATTATGTCATAAGTGGTTTCCTCTTTTTCAGCGATGGTTCAATTCTTAAATGAATCTCGTGGGACATCTCCGGAGACTGCCTACACACGGAACCGTTAATATTCAAGACAAGACTAGCTCGAGCAAGATGAGGTTTCGTGTTCGGCCAATCTGGAATCCTCGACTTCATGCATGTATTTCCTGACAATTTGTCGTGTTTGATGGCGTGGCAGTCACTTAATCCAATTGTATAATCCCGCGCGTAGGAAGTACTCCAATACCGAGAACGTGACGATTCTTCATTATATCTTTTTTCTTCCGAGACCTGTTCCAACCGCGCTACGCCATCCCAAGAATCGAAGATATATGTTATCATTGTGATTCCAGGTACCGGGGATGTTCAATCGTGTGCTCGGATGGCAGGAGGAATAGAAACAAAACGATTTCTTTTCGAATTAGTATGTATGGAGAAGGCTTTGATTCCGCGCGGTCGGCGGCCGCTCAGGGAGAGCAAGCAATCGTAATTACATAACGCGGCCATCGGTGGTTGGTCTAGTGTGTATATGGCCATCGTGATGCTACAGGAGAAGAGGCCATCGACTGGAGAGTAGAGGCGAGATGGAGCGAGAGAGATGCTGGAGAGTATTTATAATTATTACGGTCGAGTGAGCGAGCATCGAGCGCGTCTTTCATTATTCAAAGGAAATACCAGTATTGCTGAAGTTTTGACAGGACTCGCAACAGGACGAAGTTACGATGACCTCTGGGTTGCTTCTCGACACTGTCTGCTGTTGCGAATGTTTGTGTGTTTGTATTTATTTATATATATATATATATGTTTAGATGTGTTTGTATGTGAGTGTGTGTCTTTCGGTGGGCGCCCAAGGGGAAGAAGAGTAATTACGAGTCGTGCCGATGCAGTCACAAATCTATTAAAATATTGCGATATTGAGCGTGAGAATCCGTCCACCCGACGGACCCCAGAATTCTGGACATCTAGCAACTTGCCACAGCACTCTTCCCTTCGTTTATGTTACTTTTTCTCTTCGCTCTTCTTTTGCTATCCTCCAGAAGCAAATTGCTCTCTCTTTCTTTCTCTTTCATACACATATAACATTCAGGAAAACACTCTTGCCCTCTATCTATCTGAGCTGAGCTTGTTTATCTTTTATTTTTGTTCTTCTAGCTGATGTTGTTGTTGAGGGAGAGACCGTGAGAGTCGAAACAGTTGTGGACAGCGATGTGGACGATGAATGTGACGGGAGAAAAAAAAAAGAAGAAGAAAGCTTACATCCGTACGTGCAAAAGTGATACCGCAAAAATTTGAACTTGAAAAACCTGAATGAGTAGTCCAACGTCTAACAATTAAAGTCCACAGCGTGCAAATTTCGATTGATCTGAAACCGCAACACCAGCAGCGATCGGGAGTGGCATCTGTTGCAATGTTTACTTAATTTCCATACATATTGACTAGCTCTGAACTCAATGAACCTATGGCACAATGGGTGTACGTTTACAGAGTTCTGTCGGCATTTGCTTTGAAAGCGTTGCTCCGAAAAGCAATTCACGCGAGTTGACATAACAAGCATTTTATTTATCGTCGGGTAATGCAAACGTGCACTAATCAGGACCAACCTAATGAGTACTGTCCGAGGCGGTGAAATATATGAGGGTCCAAGCGGTAGCTCCAGGTGGCATTTGACCCATTCCCACCGCAGGAATGTCGCCGTACGACCGTAAATCACCGAAAACCACCACCACCACCACTAAAAAAAAGTAAATAGAAGAAAAGAGCTTTGCCATCTCTGCAAATGCTCTCATTTGCCGAGTCCGGAATCCGAGAGCGCTCATTCAAAGGGAGGGTATAATGCGCGTACATCAAGTTAAACGAAACAAAACTAAACGCAATGTCCGGAAGCGGAAGTGGAATTCGTCATGCATCCGATTCGCATTCTCGATTTTCCTTCGTTCATTCTTATTATTATTATTCCTCTTCAGCAAAGCCAATTAATCATTATCGCAATTTGCCGGGGGATTATTCATTATATGTACGCGCATGCCTGCGTCCGCAGCATTTGCCACGTTAGCATTCTGAAGAGCAAAGGTGAACCGATAAAGACAAATTGGCCGTGTTGTAAAGGCTGAATTCCGTGATGTTGCATCTGATATGGCCGTATTTACCGCACGAAATTCCTGCAACGGATTTTATTTCATCGTAAAATTGATTTGTAGGCTAATTTGCAGATATACTGAGAAACACTCTCTGACTCACCGAGAGAGGAGAGCTTAGAGCGTGATTAGATCATAACTCACGGCGCCCACCCTCCGGTGGTACCCATGTGAGAAACTGTTAATGACTCGAACTTACGCACGGGAACGAAATTTATGTACACCACCCTTCCCAAAAGCCCATGAATCTGAATCACCAATTATTGCGTTACACCCTAAAATCAAAACCTGAATTATTGATAAGAGCGTAGGTGTTGTGTATAGCTGAGGGAGGTGCTAAATTTTTAGAATGTTACTACTATACGTAGTGGAACCGTTGTTGCGAAGAGAAAATAGTTCAACGGGGTACAGTAAAATATGCTAAATGTGTGCGGGCCGTGCAGCCGGGGAAATAGGAACGAAGATTACTTTTACCCGAGGTAAAACGCCGGCTGGGATTATATAAATTACGTGAATTTTCTTAAGGGTGAAGGGGGGAGCCGGTGTTGTGTCCTCTGGCAAATTATACGTTTATTTGCGTCTACACAAACATGACACAGTCGGAAACGTTGGAAGATTTTACCTGGCATCGCCGGGACTCCCACCCCCTCGGGGGGGTGATATAAATAGCTGATAATGGAATGAATATAGGGATGCGTCTCCCTCTCCCTACGTATATATATATATATATATACACGTCATAAGCGAAGTTTCGCGAGGGAGTTGGAAAACTTTACGGCATTGTCTTCGCACAACATTAAAGCCGAGTTTATCCAAAGTCGGCCCAATGTCACACACGTGCTCCCCCCAGAAATTAGAACCAGACAAGCCCCACGTATTTCTTTTTCCTTTTGTTCTCAACTCTCTCCCTTCTTCTTCACTTCTTCTTATTTTTTGCTTTAATTAAATCGTAAAAAGGCTGAAGCGAAATCAACTCCGGAGTTGCTTTACGAGTCCACAACCCCTAGATATTTATTTTATTTAAGTAAAAACTACACTTGACACGTTATACACGGAAAAGCGATCCCTATGCCCTCGCGCTCAGGGGGAACTTTGCATGCAGAAACCTTCGCCGTAAAAACCGTGGTTTTATACTGCCACCACCTATCCCACTCTCCCCCATCAGAAAGAGAAAAAAACGCTCCTTTTATTATTCGACATTAAAAATTTAAAATTACACCCCCCACATACACACGAATTACGACGCTACTTCTTTTTTTTTCCAATTTGCAATAAAAATAATATTTCATACTTAAACGTTCGCGAATTTGAAATTTTTATTCTCACATTTACAATTTAATTAGTTGAAGCCATTATATCATACAAGGGTTACAACTTTTTTTTTGCTACTGTTGCATTAGAAGTACGCACCTTATGGCGGATGTCCAACGGATAGATATATCCATACTACTTTTTATTCCATTTTTTTTAACACGTTTAATATGTAGATTTATCCTGTCGCCTACCGCTCGCAACCGGCGCCGATTTTCCAATCAATTTGCTTCCTTTACGCTTACGCAACTTCGCGAACGTAAACGTACCGTAAGTGGTGCTTACGTGTTTGTGTCGCGATTCCCCCGCTACGATGAACTTTAATCTTTATTGAGATTTTCGACATGTAGCATGTTCAGCTCCGAAATTCCTCGCTCAAAGCCCTGTTACACCAAAGTCTACAAGAAC